TGGAGAATCCTCGCACATCTGAGGGTCTGACCCTGCCTATCCTTCTTTTTAAGCGCTCGTCTTTGCTCTTCCCTTTCTCTTTCCTCTATCGCTCTAATCCACATATGCCTGTGCATACATCATAATACGTGCTCACGATACTTTCGATTCGTCACTTTTCCGTCGTAGAGTTCCCATTTTATAATTACGTCACAGCCTGGTGATAACAGAGAAAAGAGACAGATAGGACGTCGATATAAGTCACAGTTATGATTTCACAGATTTGAGACAGCTTGATAGCCCGAACGGCCCCAGGCTTTCGCCCGTGCACACTAAGTGACTTTCATTACAAGCATTTAGCTTTCCGAAGTCTATGACAACAATTGTTTGGCATTGACGGGCGCGAATTTTGTGCCAATAAGCTGCCTCGACTTGTTCGATTATGTTATCAACTCAATTTCATATTTATTTTTACATTTTCACTTCGCGGTCCTTCTCTGTTCTTTTTCCGTTATTTACACGTGTAGGTCATTTCATTGTTACCAACATTTGATATCATCATTTATCACATACTTCCATGACACTCTTGTCTGTCCGCTACAACTGTCAAGAATTAACGTGATTGGCGAAGCGTAGTGACAGCGGGCCAATAGAGAGCAGGATCCTTGCCATAATGCGGTTTGCATGCAAATTTTCGTATGTGCATTAATCAAGCCGAATAGTTTGGCCGAATATACTATTCGTTACAACACTAATTAATATATTTTTTCCGCGCATAATCGGTTATCCGAAATATCGATTTTCCGAACAACCCCAGTCCCACTTGATTCGAATAATCGACGCTCTACTGTATATGCAAATAATGTAGATACTCGTAACTGCCACTAGAGGGCCAGAAGCAGTTTAAAAGGTAGATAAAAATGATAAAGGTGTGAAGAATTTCTTTGTGTTTTTAATTGTAAAAGTGTCAGAACCTACAAGAAAAGGCTAATACTTGGTCTTTTTTTAACCTTGTGAAGTTTTTTACCAACTTTTACCTGTGTTTAAGAAGAGTTCTTCAAAGCAATTTTTTAAGACTTACTTCTGTGGCAGTGTATAAGGGATAAAGATGGACTCAAAAGTTAACTTGACTTTTTGTAGATAGTCTAAACTTCAGTTATGAAGAAAATACATCCTGAGTTATCACAAAAATTGTAACTATACCAATTACTTTTTTTAATTACTAAAACGTCAATTTACTAAAATGTGATTTAGTAAATTAATTTTTTATAATACAAAAGGTTTTATGGACTTTTTTATCTCCAGTTGTAAAATATTTTTATTAGCAACTAACATTTTCGATCTTAAACAGATCTTTAGGTCTGAATATACAACCAAACTAGAATGTGAAATAGAACCAGGGCTGTGGAGTCGCGTAAAAATCTACCAACTCCGACTTTTCCTTACCGTTCGACTCCGACTCCGGCTAAAACACCTAAACTCCACGACTCCGACTACGACTCCACAGCCCTGCCAGGGCTGTGAAGTTGCGTAAAAATCTACCGACTCCGACTCTGACTGACTTTTCCTTGCCATCCGACTCTGATTCCGACTCCGACTCCACAGCCCTGAATAGAACATAACCAATAAACAAATACATAATGTAAGTTAGATAGAAAATGAAATAAAATACAATAAAAATAAAATATTGGAAACAATTTAAATTTATGAAAATTAAAATAAGATCATTTAAATTAAATATAATATGCAGTTATAATCCACATTTATAAACCATGTTTAACATCAATTTATGGGAGATAATTGTTTTTCATGTAAATATTGCCAAGCTTTAGATAGAGACTCTTCTATTTCTATTTTTAAATGAGTATGTTCTATTTCATTTTAATTTGGTGTGTATTCAGACCTGAAGATGATCTGTTTAAGATTGAAAACATTAGTTGCTAATAAAAATACTTTACAACTGTACAAAGGTTTTGTGGACATTTTGTATTTCAACCCCAGTTCATTTGTATTGCTATAGAATTATTTAATTTTTTACATCATATAGTAAGCATAATTATCATAAGCATCTTTGTCTATGATATCTGTAATTATCTCTAGAAAAGAAACTAATTAAATTATTAATTAATTAAAGTATATGCAATAAGAAAGATTTATGTTTTTCAAACATTGTTATAAATGTTTTTATATATTTTGATTTTTTAACCAAATGTTCAAACCGTTTAAATTCGAATTTGTTATTATTGCATATTGGTTCAATTATAGAATGATTGTAAACATTCCAGAAATTGATCAAATTAAAAACAGTTTGTTTGATTCTCAGCAGTAGGTGTTATATAACAATTATTATGGTTGTTGAAATACTGAATATAAATGGTGTTTTCTGCAAAATCTGCATGGGCAAAGTCGTGGGTAACAGCTAGTTTAAAATATTATTTCTGGATTAATAATAGGTGATGAGAATTTTGAGAGTATTTATAAAATAAACTCTAAAGATGCAACATTTTTTATTTCTGGACCTGGCTTTGGTTGCCTTAAAAACATACAAATTTGTATGAAAATTTATCCAGTACATTTTATTTAGTATAATTCAGAACAAATTTTTTTTTTTAACTAGTCTAAAAACAAGTGGTCAATACGTTTCTTCTACTAGTTTACTATCTACAGTGATCCTATTCTTGAAAACTGAATTTACAGTATCTTTCTCGGAAACATCTACTAGGTAACTGACAGTACATACTAGATCATTTGACAAATGCAAACCAATGAGAATCTTTTGCTTCAAAGGCACTTTCTTAAAAACGGTGACGTAATTACGTGATAATATCTGCAAAAGAGCACCATCCGCATTATCCTTTTCGTGGCGTTTTACTTCAATTATATATCCTATATTTTCTTTTGTGATAGCAAGAATATCTAATCGAGGTGCACGCCCGATACAAACAGCCAATTCGGCCCTAACATCAGGAAAGTTTATTACATCAGATTTAATAATGTGATAAATATCACTTTTTAAGATGAAATGATTGGCTGGAAGAGACTGCAGATTATACAAAGCAGATGTACTTAATGCAAAACGTACATACATCTTCTTATCATTTCCTTTGAGTGCCCTCAAACTTTCTAGAAATGACTGAATCTTGTGAGGTTCAAACAAAGTTTTCTGTAACTTAAGTCGTGCAGAAATGAATGCGTTAATTAATTTGCTCTTAATTTCCTGATTCACACATTTTATGTTTCCAGAAGATGACTCAGTGTCCTCAGTAAGAAGAAAGTATCCAGACTGTGCAAAATATTGAAAGAATAAATCTACCATATCCTGTATGGGATCGTACGTGAAATGATTATTGAGAATTTTCAATTGAATGACGTGTTCAATCTCTAACTTTGACACTACAGTAATAG